GCCCCGGGCGCGCAGCCCATGCACGGTGCCAGCCCGGGGTGCGTTGCCAGCCCCTGCCCTGGGTGCGCAGCACATGCGCAGTGCCGACCCCGGGCACATGGCTCGTGGGTGGCCCCTCCCCCAGGTGCGCGGCGCATGCGTGGCCCCGCCCCCGTGTGCCCGGCACGTGAGTGGCTCTGTCCCCGGGCACCCGGCAGCCACGCAACGTTGGGGACCACTGTTCTATGCTGTTTCATGCTGTCTGAAGATACAGGAATACAACTTTGTTGATGTTTCTTACATTTCGTATTTTCAAGATTCTCCACACAATGATGTAGGCCAGTAAAAATGTTTCCAAAGATCTTAAATTGTAGAATAAATTTCTATGGCTAGAGGTGGGCGAAACTCAGAAACTGCAGAATTGCAGAATATATTCAGGTTCTGATCATTAAGTAAATTGTTATAATAGTCAATTGTTTGTAATCCCTTCCACAGGGATGAAGAAATGGATGGTGAATGGGAAACCCCACAGATCCCTAATCCAAAATGTGAGACTGCACCTGGCTGTGGAGAGTGGGTGCGCCCCATGATGACCAATCCAAACTATAAAGGAAAATGGAAACCACCAATGATAGATAATCCTAACTATCAGGTAGTAATAAAATACAATAAAATATTGTATTTGTTATTAAAAAGTTCTGAATTTCATAAAATCTGCCTAGGCTTCTATATCATATTTGTTACTAAGTAGCTGAATCACGAATACATGACTGATCACATTTGACTTCAGATTTTTTTACTTTGACTTGCTTCTTAATTACCTTAAAATATCGTGCATTCCTGTACAAATCCTTTTTCTACATTAAGAACTGCTTCTGCAGAAACCAAATTATTCTAGAATGGTTACTTCAGCTATCCTACAGATACTAACTACAGGCAGTCCCGGGTTACGCGGATCCAACTTATGTCGGATCTGTACTTACGAATGCGGCTTTTCTCGCCCCGGACGACGCTTAATTACCTTAAAATATCGTGCATTCCTGTACAAATCCTTTTTCTACATTAAGAACTGCTTCTGCAGAAACCAAATTATTCTAGAATGGTTACTTCAGCTATCCTACAGATACTAACTACAGGCAGTCCCGGGTTACGCGGATCCAACTTATGTCGGATCTGTACTTACGAATGCGGCTTTTCTCGCCCCGGACGACGC